ATTACAATACTATTTTTGCGTTGTATGAAAATGTTTGTTGCTCCGTATAACATTTTTAATCAACCCCCCCCCGCCGGTCAAAGGTGTCCCTCTTTACCAATCTGAAAATCTGGTCAACTTAACCACTAGACACCCATGGCCTTCCCCACCCTGAAATACTTCATGTACAGTTAATAAGCCGAGCATTCGATTAGCGAATGTGTGGATGAAAGGAAAGAGTGATCACATTCAGAGTATAAGATTCACTTCCACAAATCCTTGGATTACTAATGGAATGGACATTCCATTTGTAACTCAAGGATTACCTGTATTTACTTTCTCTAGTTTGGTGACCAGTTAGGTTTGATTTTGGCTTTTATAATCCTCAGGCCGTACATGTTAACAGAGACTGATGGACATTCATGTTCAATATTTCTTAAGGGCACCATGTTGGAGAAGGCTGCTGTGTATGACATGGTGGGTCATACCATCAAATATTTCAAATATTTATCACTTTTAGAAACAACCTGTTGTTTTGTTTTATTTTGTTTAAACATAGGCAAAAAAGTAGGAGTATCAAGCAAAAATGAAGATATAGTTGGACCTCATTTGGCAGATCACACAGGAAGGCGTTCTTTCACACAAACATTGTTAATGATCTCACTCCCTCTGGCAGATTTCCCAGATCTGGGAAAGATCAAAAGAATGGAATGACAAACTAAAACAACAGAGTTATGTCAAAGATCAAAACAGAGTATGAGAGGAGATGGGCTAAGCTTCCCAATTTTGTATATAAACTCTTGGATTTTCCCGACAGATGAAAAATGTGATTTTTAAACAGCTTCAAGTTTGTGACATTATGATTTTTTAATTTTGCCTTTTTTCCCAGGTAGGAATATTTTCAGGCATATGTGTGGAGAATAGATATGGTTCAAAGGCATGAAAGAGGCAAGTAAGCAAAACAAGATCCCGCCCCCCCCCTCTCTCTTTCCGTCTCTCTCTCTCTCTCTCTCTCTCCGTCTCTCTGTCTCTGCTGAAATGAAACATTCTGGTATTTAATATATTATTTTAGTATTCTCTCTCTGTCTCTGATCATCACATCAGGGATCTGAAAGTGGCCACTTAGGAGACCAATGGATGCTGAGTGCAGGGAGCCTTCCCAGACAGACAGCTGTTTAACCTCCATCAGAAAATACCCAGCAAGGTACTTTTGAGTGACTCATGGCTGACTGAAAATGTCCCTACAAACAAGAAATACCAGCGAGTAGACTTGTCCTTTGAGGCTTTTTTAGAGGAGGAAAGAATGGGAGAACATCAGAAGTCCTATGAGGAGACCATAAAACAATGGTCTCCCAAGGGTTTGAGTATCAGAACCTGAGGGAGATGACATCTTTGGTCTCAGCAGTAGTGGATCTTTTGATAAGGACACTAAGTCAGTCAAACTCACTTTTAATCACATTTGGAAATGTTCAATTTAACCAAATCATGGATATTAGAGACCTTCTAATCAGCAAGTTTACGTCTGACAACCTGTTATGTTCCACCTTCATCTTTGAATGGAAGGCATTTCAAATAGAGTCTTAACAGTTTTAAATGCAATAATATGCAAATAGCAAAAAAAAGGGGGGGGAAAGCTACTTTTTAATTGAAGAGAATTTCAAATGGTCTGGAGACCAGGGAGATTTGGAATATTGATTATTTTTTCTGTAAGATTTGAAAAACAACTATATAATTAAATAATACACTCATGAGATACAACTGGAATGGAACTAAAATGATGTTAAGAACTAAGGCTGGAAGGTTGCAAATGGACACTAGAGGGAACTAAAGGACCAGACAGAAAAAAATTAAAATGATTAAGCTGTTTATAATTTTTAACTTCTCTTAAAGAATCCTTCAAAAAATTGAGTAAGATATTAATAACTATTTCTCAGAAATGATACAGCTTTCAGTGGTTAAACTTTTACAGTCTGATGAGAAAAAATAAAAACAATTCTTACTTGACACAAACATGAGAGACTTTGACAGCATGGAAGATAACAACATTGAGATTACCAAAATAGGAATAAAAAAGACAAACCAAGAAGAGGATCTGGACATGGAACAGCTGCAACAAGAAATCCTGGCTCTTTATGGGATTTACAAAACAGGCTGGTGAAAGCTTTCAAGACTATTTAAAAATCGGGATTGTGAGAGGAACCAATGAGAGGAAT